ACCAATAGGACTGTGGCGGGAGATGTAAACCCACCAACAGGACCTAGGGGAGTGTCCCCAGGTGTGTATATAGCCGGCCAGCCGGCCAGTAGTTGTTGTCTTTGTTGTGTACCAGTAAACTATGCTGATCACTACATCCGTCTCAGTGGTTTATACATGCGTCTAACCCACTACACTTTAGCTACTAATAGATACATACAAGCAAGGACCTACACAGATTCACATGGGAACGGAAACTCCACTCTCCCCTCCCCTGCTGGTCCCTGTGGTCGTCATTGTGATAAGCTCCACCCTGCCAGCCTTGTGATGGGGGGCAGGACTGGTCTGAACAAAAAAAAGGTGCACCAGACCTGCTTTTCCCTCCACCCCTACAAGCAGCTGGCCAATGGTGAAGCAAGGAGCAGAGAAAGTTTCTTCTCTAAGCCTCTCTCCCCCAGCCACCCAGCAGCAAGAAGGTGGAGAAGCTGGAGGAGAAGGCATGCCCTGCTACTGTCCCTCTAATCATCATTGCTGCTTCTTCCTCTGTTCCCCACCTGCCCGCATACCCACATGGCAACAGTTACTCCACCAGTACCACTGGCATCCAACTCCCCTGGTCACCTCTGCCTAATGTTTCCCCACAGCAGCAACAGCAGCCGCCTTCTCCTCCTCCTCCTCCTCTTGGCAGCTGCCTGTTTCTCTTCCCAGCAATAGCTCTCAATTGTTGCCTTCTCTCTGGCCTGCCCTGGCATGGGGGGGGGGGGGGGGGGTTGCTAGGCAACACTCAAAATGACAGCTGAGCTCTCACAATGTAGCATAATGAGATCTTTTTTCAGGTGGTTTTTGGGTGTGTTTTTTTGCCCTTTAGCTTCAACAATTTAGGCCTTTAAAAATCACCACCATTTATAAAAACTTTTGAGATTCTTACTATCTGTATATGTTTCCATTGTTTTATTTATTTTATTTATTTATCTTTGAATATATATCCCGCCCTACCCCGAAGGCTCAGGGCGGCTAACAAGAGGCACCGAGTGCCAAGATTAAAACAAATAAAAACAACATAGCAATAAAACAATAAAATACAATAACAAAATATCAGTGCTCCATTTGTCACAAGATGGGTAGATCTTAATCCCAATGGTAGCATTCCCATAGTCTGTCATCCCTTCTCCTGCCAGGGTCACCTCGCACCCCAAAGGAACCAGATGGTGCGATGGTGCACAGATAGCAATGATGGAGTAGTGGTGGCGGCGGCTCCTACTCAAAAGTCTGGTGGAAGAGCTCCATCTTGCAGGCCCTGCGGAACTGAGAAAGATCCCGCAGGGCCCGGATCTCCTCCAGGAGCTCCTTCCACCAGGTAGGAGCAGCCACCGAAAATGCCCTGGCTCTGGTCACTGCTAATTTAATGTCCCTGGGGCCTGGAATTTCCAGGAGATGACAACTCCCCGACCGTAGTGCCCTTGGGGGAACATATGGGGAAAGGCGGTCCATCAGGTAGGCTGGACCCTGGCCATAAAGGGCTTTAAAGGTAAGAACCAGCACTTTGAAGCGAATTCGGTACGCTATTGGCAGCCAGTGCAGCGCTTTCAGCACAGGCTGAATGTGGTCCCTCCCAGAGAGACCCATCAACAGCCTGGCTGCAGCATTCTGCACTAGCTGCAGCTTCCGGATTTGCGACAAAGGCAGCCCCATGTAGAGTGTGTTACAGTAGTCTAACCTCGAGGTAACCGTCGCATGGATCACAGTGGCCAGCTCATCACGGTTAAGGAAGGGGACCAACTGCCGAGCCAGCTGAAGATGGTAAAAGGCCAACTTGGCAGTGGCTGCCACCTGGACCTCCATCATTAAAGAGGAGTCCAGGCACACACCCAAACTCCTAACCTACGACGCTGGCACCAGAGGGACCCCATCAAAGGTCGATAGAGGGAGCCCCAACCCTGAACCGATCTGACTTAGGCCCAGGACCTCCGTCTTTGCCGGGTTTAGTTTCAACCAGCTCAGTCTGAGCCACCCAGCCACAGCCTGTAACGCCTGATGAAGGTCATCCGGGGCAGAGTTTGACCGGCCACCCAGCATCAGATAGAGCTGGGTGTTATCGGCATATTGATGACACCCAAGCACAGAACTCCGGGCAATCTGGGCAAGGGGGCGCATGTAGATGTTAAACAACATCAGGGACAGCACAGCCCCCTGAGGCACCCCACACTCAAGGGGGTGTCTCTGGGACCGCTGGTCCCCTATCACCACCCTTTGTCCCCGATCTTGGAGAAAAGAGGCAAACCATTGAAGGGCAAGCCTGAATCCCCACATCGGTGAGGCGGTGGGCCAGCAACTGGTGGTCGACCATGTCGAACGCAGCCGACAGATCTAACAACACCAGCGCTGCCACACCACCCCGATTTAGATGCCTACGGAGATCATCAGTCAGGGTGACCAGCACCGTCTCCGTCCCATGACCCGGGCGAAAGCCGGACTGGTAGGGATCGAGGACAGAAGCATCCTCCAGAAAGCTTTGTAGCTGTAACACTACCGCCCTCTCGATGAGTTTGCCCAAATAGGGCAAATTGGACACCGGCCGATAGTTGGCCAATTGGGCCAGGTTCAAAGATGGCTTTTTCAAGAGGGGGCGGACCATTGCTTCCTTAAGTGCCCCAGGGAACTGTCCCTCCAAGAGGGACATGTTGATAATCTCCCGCAGGGCACCCCGAAACCCCTCGCGGACCACTTTAATGAGCCAAGAGGGGCACGGATCAAGGTCGCATGTGGTTGGACGCACAGATACGAGCAATCTGTCAACTTCCTCCAGAATGAGTTGGTCAAAACACTCTAAACCTGGCACCAAAGACGTGCAAGGGGCCTCAAATTTGCTCACTGTTTCAATTGTGGCAGGGAGATCGCAGCAGAGCACTGAGACTGTGTGGATAATTGATCTGCACTTAAATAAGACATTATGAAGATGAGATCCACAACTCTATGCCATCTGGGGCATGTAGTTGAACCTCTGGGCACTTTTAAAATTTTGGGAAAGGGTATAGGGCACTGTCAGAAAGTGGTTGTGCTGGGGCATTGCAACCTTTTTGTTCCTCTTAGGATGGGAGGAAACTATCAGTTAAATATATTTGAGGTTACCTTTTGAGGAGGGCTGGTGTTGGCTTTTCTCAACAACCTTCCACACACATTAAGTTTAAACTAAATGTTCAAGAAAAATGGAAGATTTGGGTTTTAAAGGGGGCCACGAAATCTTGTAGGTAATCAAGTTAATTTCCCAAACTTACTAATACTTATTCTGTTAAAATACATTGTAGTGGGTGGCCTTAATTACCGTCCGCAAATCCTTGTAGAACTGGAGACTGCTATAGGAGAATCCAGTTGAACTCAATACTAGGGAGTCTATATGCCTGTCCACAACAGATTTTGGGAGTGTATTCTGGCTGTGGCAAGTGCTAAGCTTACATCTTCCATTCTCCTCCCTCATCTCTTCTCATTTATTTTCCATAGCAAGAATCCCACTCCCCACCCTTTTCCTTTCTGATGGTAGTGGAGGTATTACTGTGGCTAAGTAGTTTCAAGTGCGCACACACACACAACCCTAATGAAGACAAACTGAGCCAAGCTGATAGCTCAAATGCCCATTACCTTTTAAGTCAGCGTTAATGCCAGGACCATTAAAATGTATTTATTTAGATTTATAGTCCGCTCTCCCCATGAACGGCCTCAGAGCGGATGACAAGTGGATAAAACACACATCAATAAATATATAGCAATATTTAAAACAATTAAATAATACAATTTGAAAACAACCAACAGTGTGTAACCAACAAACACAATTTCAGCTGGAGTGACTGGATCCAGAGATCTTTTTAATCTCAGCCAAATAATGATGACAGGCTTCAGTGAGGGAGGCCGGCTTCACTGAACGCCCTCTGCCTCAACCAAAGGCCTGGTGGAACAGCTCTGTCTTACAGGCCCTGAGGAATGATAATAGGTCCCACAGGGCCCTGATCTCAAGCGGGAGCCTTTTCCACCAGGCCCGGGCCAAAAAAAGCCATTGACCTGGTCAAGGCTAGACAGACGTCCCTCGGGCCAGGGACAACCAGTAGACGTTGATCCATGGAGCACACATATGGGGAGAGGCGGTTCTACAGGTATGTTGGTCACTGGCCGTGTATGGCTTTGAAGGTCAAAACCAGTACCTTGAAGCGGATCTGGTACTCAATCGGTAGCCAGTGCAAATGGCATAGCACTGGCTGGATGTGTGTCTGCACAGGCAACACAGTAAGCAAGCTCACGCAGGGTAAGTCACATTAATCAGGCCTGGAAGTATCCATTGCATGAGGCATTGTAGCTAAGTCCTGGGTGGGGGGGGGGGAACCGGCGCCCTGATTTGCCAAGAGTAAAAAGACCTGGCAACTGTAGTGACCTAGGCCTCCATAGTAAGCAAGGCATCCAGGATCATGCCAAGCCTCCTCACCTTCTGGGCTGGTACAAGTGGCATGCCATCCAAGGTGGGCAGCCTGATTCCCAACTCAAACTGCCTCCTCCCCAGCTCAGATACAGGACCTCCATCTCTGTTGGATTAAGTATCAGCTGGCTCTGCTGCAACCATCCAGCCACAGCTCCTGGAGCTGGGTGTCACCTGCATACTGGTGGCAACCCAGCCCAAAGGCAGCTGAAATGCATTCCTCCCCCCCCTTCCCCCTGGGCCAATCCCGATTGCCAGCTCTGCGACCTTTTTGTCCTCCTACTGCCTTCAGGGCACTTCAGAGCTGCCTGGCAGGACTGCAAGTGGTACAACTGTGAATGCAATAAAGTAATACAACGAGAAGAAAGAGAATAAGGAAGGAACATGGAAGAGGCAGGCTGTGGGGCAGCAAGGAAGCAAACAGGTGCCAGGAAACACATTGGCGGGCATCAAGTTGGGGAATGCTGCCTCAGACTAAAGGGACTACAGCAGTGGTACTTGCTCCTTGGATCACATAGATCCAAATTTGCAATTCCCATCAACCAAAAGAGCCACATGACTATTTTATCCCTGGCACGCCAACCTAGACACAAACATGAACAGTTTTAATTAGCAGAGTACCTCTGAGCAGGTAGTGTTGGCTCTCCCCGCCTCTGCTGAACTGTAGCCAGCCCTTGTTATCTGAAATAAGGGGAAGGGCTTGCAAGTCAGATATGACACAGAACAGAAGGTGCCAGATCCAAGGATTTAAAAGTAAAACAGTTGGTTTGGGCAGCAGGAGGGAAAGTGATCTACTAGTGTTGACATCACACACAAAAATTCAACCGGCTAAGGCTGCAGGTTCCCCACATGATGCTTATCTTCCACTCCGCTTAAGAGAAGTACTTCTTCCACTGATGCTCATAAAGTATTTTAGGGGAAATGGGGGGGGGGGAATTTGCAGTCATATGAGCCATATGAGGAGGAGCTGTGGCTCAGTGGAAGACCATCTGCTTTGCATTCAGAAGGTTCAATCCCCAGCATCTCTAGTTAAAAGGACAAGACAGAAGGTGATGGGAAAGACCTCTGCCTGTGACCCGGGAAAGTTGCTGCCAGTCTGAGTAGACAATACTGGCTTTGATGGACCAATAGTCTGATTCCATTTAAGGCAGCTATGTTGTGTGTGTGTGTGTGTGTGTGTGTGTGTGTGTGTGTGTGTGTGTGTGTGTGTGAGAGAGAGAGAGAGAGAGAGAGAGAGAGAGAGAGAGAGAGAGATTATTATAGAATATAACAGTAACAAGTAAATGTATTTAAAGTCTTTTAAAGGAGAAATCCTGGGAAGGAAAATAAGAAGATACCAGCTCCCAAGAGAAACACAATACAGACTAAAGCATTACTCACATTTCCTTTCATTTCATTAACTAATGCAAGCTTAACTTAGTGTAATCTGCTACTCCATCAAAGCAACCAAAGCTGCAATACCATTGTGTTCAATAGTCTCATGTCATGTATCAGTTATTAATAGATAACCATGCCGATAAAGACTACTTACAGATTTAATGTCAGCATTCATAATCCCTGAATTCACACTGTGTCTTCGCAAATCTGATCTGATAAAAGCTGAAATAAATAAAACACAAGATATAAATTGCAATACATTCACAACAGCAAACACTTGCACTCAGGATAGTATTTGTGCTAATGCTAGCCATTTTGAATCTACAAACAATGCTGTTCAGAGAAACTTCAAATCAATAAACAGGGGGCATATGGTTCTGGATACCATGCGATATTTATTACATTGGCACTTTGATAAGGTGGAGAGGAAAGAGGGTAGATGCCACACTCTCCAAGGATGGTCTGGAATCTTCGTGCTCTGAACAAACTACAGCTGTTCCATGTGACAGCTGGTCAAATTGAATAAATACATTTCTGAATTCACTGAAAGCAGCTTGAAGAACACAAAATTAGCTACATCCCAGTTTCTTTACCCATATATACAAAAACATAATTATTAATTCTGCATGGCTAGAAAAAATACACTAAGTCAACTATAAGTGCACTTTATGTGGGAAGAAGAAACATATCCAAATTATTTTTAATAAAGATGAAATGATGTGCGGGAACTCTTAGAAGGCTGTGGATTGCCCCACCAGTTAGATGCACAGGGTAACAGTAGTACAGCAGAGACAACACTGCTCTACATTTCTGATCCCTTTCCAAGCCAAACAGCAAATTGGTTTGCAATGGTGGACTCGGGAACCCCAGTGCAGAACATGTGAATGCACAACAGACTTCTCCATATCTGGTCTGTGCTCTCCTAGAGGCCCCAATTCATAGCTAAGCAAGCAGATTCCCTTATGTGATTGATCTGCCTGGAAATTACACTTTTATTTAACGGTAGCAGTAACCCCCGCTTTGTAGACTCAGGCTTAGCACCATTTAATCACAAAATAAATAGCTCAGGGACCACAGATGAAAAATAAAAATAATGCTGACTAACACTGTATAATAATGATACCTTCCCTTCACAAAGATGATGCACGGGCTGGTTCTCTAGTTAATGAAAGTTCTTTAAACAAAAACATGCATGTTGGCATTTCTTTCCCATGTATCTAACTACGTTCCTCAGTTTTGGGACACAGACAACTCTATATAACCCAAGTTGTCTGCAGTCACATGTAGCACTAAAGTCTGAAGTAGACATTGTTTGACATGAGACTGCCACAGAGGACTCACGGCCAGACAGCAGCTGTGGGTTCCCTGTGGGAACTCAACTCTGAAGTGCATGGAACCACAATCTGAACTGGGACCACTGCGCAGGACTTTAGCTGCTCATCCCTGGGCCTTTTTCCTGACTCAAACAGGGCTCTGCACACTTCAGAATCGAGTTCCCATGGGGAATCTGCCTGCAAGTCTTCTATGGTGACACCTGTCTAGTTTGGACCTATAATTGGAAAGGGAGGGCACGGAGCATTCATAGGCACATGCAATTCCAAAACACACCATATAAGCTCTTGCACATCCATATCAGGACTTATTCTAGTTCAGAGAACATTTTAAATTTCTAATTTTAAACACTGTCTATTGAGCTGCGGTGGCTCAAGTGGTTAAGACGCTGAACTGCAGGCTGTGGAAGGTCAGTAGTTCAGCAGTTCGAGACCCGAGTTGCCACATGATGGAGTGAGCTCCCGTCTCTAGTTCCAGCTCCTGCCAACCTAGCAGTTCGAAAGCAAGAAATTGCAAGTAGATAAATAGGTACCACTTCGGTGGGAAGGTAACAGCGTTCCGTGTGCCTTGGTAGTCATGCCGGCCACATGACCATGGAAACGTCTTCGGACAGCGCTGGCTCTTCGGCTTTGAAACAGAGATGAGCACCGCAACCCTAGAGTCGGATTCGACTGGCTTTCGAGCAAGGGATCCTTTACCTTTACTTTATTGACCTATACCATACAAGATTAGATATGCCAAGAAGGATGTTTGCAGAACGAAAGGAAATTTTCTTTTCAACCTACTACTTTTAAATCCTTAAAATCATGAATACATCTACTTAGAATTCAATGATCCCCAAAAGAGTTATATTTTCAAGTGTACTTAGAATCACAGCCCATACTCCTTCAAATAATAGGCCTTGCTTTTCTAAACAGTCACACATGAGGCTGCCTTATACTACATCAGACCATTGGTCCATCAAGGTCAGAACTGTCTACTGGCAGCAGCTCTCCAGGGTCTCAGGCAGAGGTCTTCCACATCACCTACTGCCTCATCCTTTTAACTGGAGGTGTTCTTCCATTGAGCCACAGCCCTTCCCCACTGAACCAGTGTCCAGCAGCCATCCGATGAAGAAATTAATTTTCTTGCTGGCACAATTGTTTGGATACCTGCCAGTATTCATAAAATTTTATTTTTGCTTCCTGCTCTTTTAGTGTTAATGACACATTCTAATTTTTCAGTCTACCTATGAGTATTTTCTTCCCCACTCTCAATCATTTGAAAGCCAAGTAATGAATCTGAAAGCCAAGTAATGAGCCAGTTTGGTGTAGTGGTTAAATGTGCAGACTCTAATATGGGAGAACTGGGTTTGATTCCCCACTCCTCCACTTGCACCTGGCTGGATGACCTTGGACAAACCATAATTCTGGCACAGCTGTTCTTGAAAAAGAGCAGTTTCTGTCAGAGTTCTCTCAGCCCCACCTACCTCACAGGGTGTCTGTTGTGGGGAGGGGAAGGGAAGGGAAAGGAGTTTGTAAGCCGCTCTGAGACTCCTTTGGCTAGTGAAGGGTGGGGTATAAATCCAATCTCTTCTTCAAATCTTGGCAAGTTACAAATTATTTATTACGAAAGAAGTTCAAACATGAATCAATGGGTTACCTGTTAAAATGATGCCTATAAACATCCATGCACAGAGAAAAATGTTTCCTGCACGTGGGTTGTAATCACATGTAAGTGTTCCTTGAATCAATGTAAAAATAATCCCAAATATCTGAAAATTAATCATAAAAAATAATTTCAGATTATTTCACCTCCAGAATATCCCATAGTTGTCTACGGGACAGCACATTATTACAGATAAATTGTGTGTGATATTTGTTCCAAGAGCCTGTGCTGCTTTTCTGATGTCTTCTAACTTCTGGCATCCTATTTGTAAGTACCACAGTTACACTATTAGGCATCACAAGAACTTTTTTCCCCTACCCGTCATGGTAGGTTTTTTTTTTTTTAATGGAATCCATACATGGAAACGATGACTGAATGCTGCCTCTACATTATCTGCGTCACTGCTTAATGGAATATTTGGCCCCCTTAAATCACAACTGTATCAGACAGTGCTAGTGCAACTTCCAGTAGCAGCCACGGGCTTTCATTGTGGATACTGCAGGCTAAGTAAAGCTCACTATAACGATGAGCTGCCTGTTAGTTTCAGAAAGTCCTACATTTAAGCTGAACGACAGCTAAGTCAAGGTTTCTAAGAAGTAGGAATATTCCACCACAAGTTCAGAACCAAATATTGTAGTAGCCTAGTTTTGTTAAAACATTCACTCATTTACCTGTGCTGAAGCATTCAGAAGCCCTGATGAAGTGCCTTCTGACTCTGGGTATGTAATTTCTGCAGCAAATTCAAAACCAAGCGGGAGGTAACCAGTCATGAAGAAGCTGCCATAAAAATCCAAACCCAAATTAGCAGCAGTTGTTATGAAGAACGGTGCCAAAAGCAACGACTCGCAACTAATTTATAACTGTTTAAAAGTACTTTTCCTTATCCAAGAGGCCACCAGTATGGTTAACCAGCAAACTCAAGGAAGCTGTAAAATACATGAATTCCTTTTAGAAGTGGAAGTCTTGCCCAAACTAGGAAAAGAAGAATGAGCACAAACTCTGATAAAGCAACTTTAAATTGACAGTAAGGCAAATGAAACAAGTATTTAAGGCACTCAATGAATTTGTCTACTCATATATGACTTAACATCATATAAGGTGCCAAATTGTTTAAATTAATAAATTGTTCACCATCAAACATGCTTCATATTATTAAACATACTGTTGATTATTTAATACATGCATAAAATACAACTGATACATAGACTGGCAATTTGAAGAAAACTCTACAAATCCAGAAAAGACTTTACAATTCCAATGGACTGAAAAACATAATTTCTAAATGTCCATAAAGCAAGTAAATCCAGTCCTTAAGACTTGAAACAAACAATGATGAGCAACTTTAAATTGAGAGTAAGGCAAATGAAAGGCACTCGATGAATTTGTCTACTCAGTGTTGGCAGCAATGAAGGGAGACATTTTTGCTAAGCTAAGGAATATTAGGAAAGGAGAAAGAATGCGCATAGGGTAAGGGAATATGCTATGGAGTTCTATACAATTATGCGTAGTATTTCTTTAAGTGGATAAAAGGAACTTCCTCCCTCTCCCAAAGCACTAACACTCAGGGGCACCTAATGACATTGATGAGCTGACAAATTTAGGATAGACAAAGGAAAGTACTTCACAAAATATATAATTAACCTGTGGAATATGGGATGTGATCAGGGCCAATAACTTAGATGGCTTTAAAAAGGCAATTAAAGGCTATTAGTCAGAATGACTGAGTGAACCTCCAGTATTGCTCTGAGAAGCTTTAAACTCTGTAACCCTGTGGACCTTTTGAGGCACCTGGTCAGCTATAGTAGCAAAGGGGATGCTGAACTAGGAAGACCATTTGTCAGAGCTGGAGGGATCTTCTCACTTACTTTTCCAATTACATCCACCTGTCTCACGAGCCACTTCTGAAATGCTATGCTTGAGGAAGCCTCCTCCATAAGAAAATATAAAACCATACAGTATCGCAAAGTTACTATAATAAGATCTCACTTAAGAAATCCTGATGTAGTATCCACAATAAGATATGACGTTTTTGTACATCCTTACCCGAGCACTCCACCAGTCACAAATACAACTATAAGGTGTCCACAATCCAAGGTAAATGTAAATGCAATCATCCCAACAAATGAGAGGATGTATACAATTAATGTTGTCTGCCTAAAGTGTATAAATACAAAAAGCAAAATTTTATCAAATATTGCTTCCATCGGAATTATTTTTTTTTTGTTACACTCATAGTTTAAGTACTTCATCCAGTTCAAACACAGGAGTATAGTTTCATTCAGTAACAAACTGTCACTGGTCTCCTTGTCCAAGAACTACTTACACCGTTAGGCACGAAGCATTCTTGAACTCTCAGCAGATAGTGAGAATCAGTTTTAGCCCCCCCCCCCCAAGTTAACAAGTAGCAGAGGCTGTAGTTTTCCTCAAGCCCCAGCTTCCTGCTAAGGGCTGGAAGACAAATTTCCAGCTCCTAAGAGCCAACATCAGTTTCTTTTTCCAGACACCAGGTCTTCACTGCACTAGATACTTCAGTGTTATTTCCCTTAAACAAAATGTTTGGAAAGCTGTCTCACACTGCACTATTTGCAGATTCAGTGAGCTTCTGATGTTTACCTCCCCCCTCCTTCCAGCCTGCAGTCAATGGGTTTACATAGTCAATGCTGCACCAGTAACAGTGGTGTGTTCAGGGAATCCTTCGAAACTTGTAGCATACTATCGGGAAATTTACTAGAGCTGCTCACTTAACCCTTTACTCTGTAAATATAGCAAATAGCAGAAATACACTTTACAATTTGCATTTTTATTTGCTTACTTGTATGTTTTGGTGTAGTCCAGCCACAAACCACAAATAATTGAACCCACCATTCCAGCTACCACAAGTGTCAGGCCAATTCTTCCAGCATTCACTTCTTCTCCCTTTGAATAATATAATTATGGAAGTATTCATAAGCTCCCTTTACTACATTTACTAAACTTTTACACCCATGCACATTCATACCCAACTCTGAATCTAAAGAAACGCGAAATGTATAGCCATGTCATTTGTAGCTAAGTATGAAGGATTAGTGAACAACATTTGAAATACACATAATTTAAAACATAGATTAATTAGATGCTTTAATCAATAAGCTGCAGCAAAACAATGAGGAATATATGACCTATGCGATGAAAAATTAACATCACAGTAACTAGTTAAGAAGCTGCGGTGGCTCAAGTGGTTAAGACGCTGAACTGCAGGCTGTGGAAGGTCGGTAGTTCAGCAGTTCAAGACCCGGGTGCCGCAAGACAGGGTGAGCTCCCGTCTCTAGTTCCAGCTCCTGCCAACCTAGCAGTTCGAAAGCAAGAAATTGCAAGTAGATAAATAGGTACCGCTCCGGTGGGAAGGTAACAGCGTTCCGTGCGCCTTGGTGTTTAGTCATGCCGGCCACATGACCACGGAAACGTCTTCGGACAGCGCTGGCTCTTCGGCTTTGAAACGGAGAGGAGCACCGCAACCCTAGAGTCGGATTTGACTGGCTTTCGAGCAAGGGAACCTTTACCTTTACCTAACTAGTTAAGAAGCAGCTGGGGGCCTTGAAGAACTGAGGGGAGAGAAACAATTTGGGAATTCCCCACCCATCCTCCAGTCTCCCCTGCCAAAATTCTACAAGCACTCAGGTACTGAGTAGATTAATTTCCCCTGCTCCACTTTTCCACTAAAATATGTAGAAACTCCCTGGTTTCCTGTAGGTGGCTCAGTTCTGCTGTTTTCATGACATTGATGGGGGAGTCAGCTACTTCACTACTAATATTTTGTAAGTCTGGAAAAAATGATCAAGATGGGTTAGTATGTCTATAGCTGTAGAAAAGAGCAAGAGGCCAGTAACACACAAAAGTTCATACCCTGCCACAAATTTTGTTCATCTTCATGGTGCTACTGGACTCTTGCTATTTTCTGTAGGGGGGAAATGAGTTTGAGTACTATACGAATACTAGTTCAGCAATAAATCCAGTATGTTTTCCACTGGAAAAAAAATGTAAAATATGGAATAAATGGGGACTCCCAATGACACTGCATGCCTTCCCTCCTTCAGGCTTCCAACCGCCATTTGTGAAGCTATCAGAGGGAAGTCATGATGCACCCAAACACCAAGCATCATCATGCTTAGATCCGGTTCAGCTGGAAATCTCCTCCCCAAGGAACAGACGCCCTAAACTACAATTATCATTTCACTGGGGTTCTTGTGAGTTGCTCTGAGAGTCATTTGGGCTGTAAAGGAAGCTAAACACAGAACATGACAATATATCACTAGATCTTGTCACAGATGAGGTAGTCTAAACTGGAAACATGTTTCTTTCATTGACTAGATCCTTTTTCAGTTGTTATATTTTTGGCACTCCTGCCTCATGCTTTTCAGGTGCCAAAATTCTGGAATTGTGCCAGAAAATAAGTCTTAAACTGACACAGACACACCCAATATTCTAGTATAATAAAGCATGCTCTGCAGGAAAAAATGAAGCAAAATTAAAATGGTAGGATTCTGAACTACACCCTTCTACTTGTAAATCTCCTAATACAAGTGATCAGCATTTTGTGTGAATAGGGCAATATGAGTATTTTCAAGCAGTGGGATGTGTAAACACATACCTACAACAGGCCTTTTGATCATGCACACTGAAGCATGAAAGTACACGTCATGTTCACAAAAAATGGTGATCACTCACATTAAAAGGAACACATATAGTGTGCTCTTCTAAGGTAGGGGTATCAGAAACATAATGGCTGAAAAGGGCTTGGATACCCAAGAACAGAAACACTGCTAACAGGATGCAGTGACACTAATTAAAAACAAGGAACTGGATTTCAATTAGCTGTTTATTAGGTTATATCTGGATCTCAAAAGAAAAACAGTCTACAGCAATAAAGCAGTACAGACCACCACTGGCCACTGGAAAATAAATATTAGTCCGCCAGTCTCAAAAGCGTATTACAGGATTTGGAATCGTCAGCAATAATATTAAAGTTTTTTTACCCAACCAAAAGAGAAGCATAATAGTGAATAACTGTTGATGCTGAAGTGTCTCTTTTTTCATCTGTTTAGAAAGATCAACTGCAGAACAATAAGGTCCTAATCCTTGCTCTCCATGAAAATGTGGAATTCACTGCAGCAAGACGTAGTGGTGGCTACAGGCATAGCTTCAAGAGGGGACTGGATAAACATATGGAGCAGAGGTCCATCAGTGGCTATTAGCCACAAGGTATAGATGGAACACTCTGTCTGGGGCAGTGATGCTCTGTATTCTTGGTGCATGGGGGGGCATCAGTGGGAGGGCTTCTAGAGTTCTGGCCCCACTGGTGGCACCTGGGTTTTGGTCACTGTGCGACACAGAGTGTTGGACCATTTGGGCCATTTGCCTGATCCAGCACAACTTCTCTTGTGTTATTATGATCTAATACATGTGTCCCCAACTTTTTTGAGCCTATGGGCGCCTTTGAAATTCTGACACAGCATGATGGGAGCAGCCACAAAACGGCTGCCACAGCTTACCTGCAGTCACACAGTGAAGACCTTTGTGCTGTGGTGGCAGCCACTGCCAAAGCAACATTTTAAAAAATCTTTACAGGCTATCATATCTTCAGTGGTTAGTAGGAAGCCTTGCTTCTACCTGGCTCCACTGAAGCACTTAGCAGGCACCATAGTGCCCATGGGAACCACACTGGGGACCTCTGATCCAACATGAGAACAAAGTAATGTCACTTTGAGCTTTTAATTCACTAATACCTCTACCCTTATTCAGGGCCTAGATACTTGAAGTACCATCTCCTCCTATACTGCCCAACCCACCATTCAAGATCCTCCTCAAAGTCTTTGCTTTCTATACCACTCTGCAGGAGTGAGGTAAGTCACAACTGTAGACAGATCTTTTTCAGTGGTGGCACCTCACATGTGGAATTACCCTTCACCTTAAGACTTGTCTGGCACCTACCCTACTCTCTTAGATGCCAGGCCAAAATGTCTCTTTTTACCCAGACTCAAACAAGGGGTTGAGACTTTGTAAATTTGTTTTTCCTGTGTACTTCTTGCTTGAGGACGGTTTTATGAGAATCATTTTAGGCTGCTAAATGTTTTATGCTGTTTTTATGTTCTGGCTTTTAAAAGTCAGACTTTAAAAAAAATGGATCTGGACATAATTAAACTAGACTTGTGAGTAGCTCATTTAAGAAGCATGACATTATTTATCCTACAAAGGTTTTCCTGCCAAAAAAAGAGAATGGCCTCAAGGAAAAAAGCCCAAAGCAGACTCTTTTGGGGGAAGGGAGGATGTCCGTATTTGGCACAATCACTCACAAAAGATACATGGTACCGTAACCTCAGCACATATCAATCTCTCGCAAACTAGGTGTGGACATAACAGGGCCAGTCCAAACAAACATTCTGCTTACTGAAAGGTGCAATGTCAGGATTAGAATCTGTTCCCATATAGCTCTAAATGGTGGACAGGATGAGTTCCCTCATAATAATACATGCATAGCCAAGTATCAGGGATTCCCTTCCCCCATTCTACTAAAACCTAAACACACTGCTAACACACTGAGGGGAACCTCCACATTCAGAGCCTCTGAATCCCAGAGCAAGGAGGCAACATCTGGGGAAGGCCTTGGCCTCTATACCCTGTTGTTGGCCCTCCAGAGGAACTGGTTGGCCACTGTGTGAGACAGGATGTTAGACTAGATGGACCACTGGTCTGATCCAGCAGGGCTCTTCTTATGTTCTTATGCTTCAGAGTGAGAAGCAATTCAAGTACCAACAACAAAAGAGCTAAATTAACTTACCTTATAATGAGTTGTTATCATTTGATTCAGTAGAGTTGAGACTGAATAAAATGCCCCAGTCATAATTCCTACAATGAGAAATATGATTATTAAATGTATTGCTATGATTACAGAAATAAAATCAAGCAAGACTGCTCAGAATGGGCAGGGGAAAATCAGCAGATTTAGTCACTTGGAAAGCATGTTAAGAAATGTGTTTCCCACTCTCTCTATCATCTCAATCATCCACATTTATGATCCGCCCTTCAGTCCTGACCAGAAGACTGAAGACAAAGACTCTTGACTAAATAAAGTTCTGTGGAGGGAAATAACTTGCCATTAATTAAGGAGAAAAGGATTATTTCTTTCGCCAGACTACTAGGCAATTTTTAACTCACATCATGGTAAGAGACAGTACAATTAGTGTTTTTGAAAGCAAATCATGGAAAGCTTCAGCAAACTTATCTGGCAGAACAGCATTATTTACATCTACTAAAGGAAAAAAAGTGGCAGCAAGTGTACTGTTGTGTTATTTTACTTTCTCAGTTTTAAATAGAAAACAATATAAATTGGAAAATTTCATAGATATAATCAGGGCTCTAGTCGGGGGGGAGCTCTCAGGTACGGAGCTCCGGAAGAGAACCTCTAGGGGGCGGGGCGGTCACGTGGTGAAGCCCCGCCCCCTTCTTTACCCCGCCCTCTGCTTCGATCCTCATTCCGTTTGGGAATGAGGATGAAGCAGGAGGGTAAGTAGCCGGGCCTTCTGACACACTTCCGGTGATGTCAGGGGGTGTGGCCTTCTGTCACTTCCGGTGATGTCAGGGGGCGTGGCATATGCAAATAAGTTATGCTAATGAGTTATGCTAATGAGCTCCGGCAGCTCTTTTTCTACAACAAGACCCCTGGATATAATACAGGAGTAAAAAAGGTATGAAATGCGCGATATGTAACTTCATTGGAATAACATCAGATATAAGAGATTAATGAATTTACTATGATTTTGTAGATGTGCCTAAAATTATGTACTTGTATTTCTTTTTTTTGGTTTTGTTTTGTTTGGAAAATTAATAAATAGATCCTATGAACTGTGAGCCGAGTGCTCATGGACACATATCTTTCCTACCTTCTCCTTTCCCCAGTTGCTACCCCCCCCCAACAAAATCCTGAGGTTAGCAGACCCTTGTGGACAAAGTGCCAGGAGGCACTGTAGCAAGGAGAGGAGAACTGGGCAAATCTTACAACTGCAACATTGCCTGCAGAAAGAGATCTCTTGCCCCCTTCCCCCAGCAGCCACTTGTCACACTGGAAAAGCTAATGGTAGGGGAACCCTCAAAGGCACCGTGTCATGGGACAAGACGGGCTCCAGTAAGGAGAGGAAATTGGGCAAATCATTCCCACATTCTTCCACCAGCTGAACTGCCCATTAGCTTACTTTACAATAAGAAAGCATCACAGGCTTCATTTACATTCAAAATATTAGTCTTTATTAGGGTCAGGGCTATTTTATGGCAACTGAACCACACTGTATCAGACAATTGAACAAGAAGTTGGAACACTCACCATAACTAACCAGCAAAAGAACAAAAGGAATGTTTCTGAAGAGGTTGATTATTGATTGCTTATAGGAGTAATCTTCTGGAGACACTTCTGAAAGAGCAGCCTGAGACTGACTTGGAGGATATTTAGGTTTTTCCTTAAATACTAGGAGAAGACAGGGAGGAAAATTCAGTACATTTAGCAAACACATTTCATTACAAATTTAGCCTTGGATGCACCACAGTATTTATTCAGAAGGAGGGTTTCCACCTACAGAATGTGACTTTCTTACCTCCCTTCTCACAGTCTGTTGAAACGCTTCAAAATGCCGTTGCTGACAGTATTTTGGGCTGAAGCGGCAGGAAACAGGGGGGCCCAGACTTACCTGGGCCTTGTTTGTAGGCCTGCAGGGGCAAGGAGGAAGGTGACACATTGTGGCAATGTTACCATAGGACTGGATTGATTTTCAGGGGAAATGCAGCCAGCATGCCCACTTCCCCTATATCTGGGGATCCCTTTAAGGGATTTTGGGGGGGGGGATTTTGGGGTGAGGGCTTACAGGGTACATGCCCGACTTGGGGACAGTCCAGGCACCCTCATTCTCAAGTGATACAGGAAACCACGCAGCAGCCTGTACCCATGTGGAATCCTACATCCCACAGTATACCTCAGTGGGATTAGGTAAATCAGCTGGCAGGTGGGTTGGGTGATGCCAAGATCCATTGCTCCATGCTGTGCCAAGGCTCTGACAGATGCTGTAACCAATAAAGTTGTGGCCCTTTTCAATTCAAAAGGTCGTCATCATTCTTGCATTCACTGGGGTTTGGGTGGTAGCCTTGTCGTCTCCTTGACCCTTTGGCACTGAGATCGCAAGGAGACAAGGATGTCATACTCAGATGGTTAAAATCCTTCCATCTGCATAATGCTTAGGTGGATCTGAGCCATTATATTTAGGGAATTTTTATACCCCATATTCCTATCACTTGTATTTCCAAAACAACTACTTATAACTACTCTGGTTTGATAGAAACTTAAAACAAATTAAACTCTGTTATAGTTTGAGGCACAACATATCGTCCCATGACGGCTGCCTATGTAACCTTTCATTATTTATAATTATAGTAGTGCTAGAAACATAAAATAGAAAGGCAAAGTAAATTTGAACATGGTTGGTTTAATTTGCATATGGTGCACAAACATGGCAGAATGCTAAACTACTTGGAATGGACAAGTATCACCCCATCATATGAGAGAGCTATCCTGCCAGCTCTCTCAAAGCCTTGATACTGGTAGTTAGGGATGAGTACAAACCAGGATAATGGCAGGTCGTGGTGGTTCATTGGGTTCCACAAACTATGAAATTTCACGAACTTTTCCATTTGTTGAACCAGTTCGTATGGTTCGGGAGTTTGGGAGGTGGTAGAATGGCCCCCTTGCAATGTCAAACTCACAGGGAGTCTTCAACAGGCTCTCCTCCACCCGCCCTTCAAGCTTGGCAAAGATGGGATTTTAAAGGGGGAAAAAGACCTTCCCCCCACACACCTGGGCACTGACAGAGAGAGGCTAGTAAGTGTGTGGCACAGATCCCTGAAATCACAGCAAAGAACACCTTCCCAGCCAGGAGAGGTGTTTAAAAAATTGTCCCACTGTGTGTGGGGGGGAAAGGAGCCCCTCAAAGCCTCCCCTTGAATCAGCCAGCAGCAAGCAATTCTTCTTCTCCTAACTCTCACTTGATGACTAGCTCCCCTCCTCTCTCTTCCTGCTGCAAAGTGAAAACATCTGAGTCAGGGTGTGGTACAATCTGCTCCATAGAGCAGAGTGGGAGGTCTGTGGTTGGCTGCCAGAGCTGCCAATCAAGCTATGGACATCTACTATGGGTGTTTCTAGGGCTCTCCACAAGTCTATCTCCAGCATTGCCTAAGAATTGACTGAATTGGCACCAGGCTGTGTGGCCAACGAACAGCTCTAACAAACCACCCGAACCTCCATGGAAAAAATGGCAGTTCATTGTTGGTTCGGGATTGGCACAACCAAATGAACCGGGTCAAAACAAACCACGAACCGGCCCAGTTCAAGTAAAAATTCAGTTCGTTTTGCAGTTCATGTCCACTCCTACTGGTAGTACCAAATTTTTTTCCATAATAATGTTAAAGTTCTCAACTATTAAATGGAATTACAGGAATATCAGAATATTCCTCTGCCATCATATTTCCTTATTGGTCTTTCAGAACATGAGTTAGAAATTTTGTTTTGGACTATGTATGACAGACAGAACTGAAATTTGCATTGCCTTCAGATATTCCCCACCCCCATCCTCCAGAACCCCACTGGAATCTATATGGCAAATTATATTACTTATGACCCAAAACAAACTAAATATAAAAACACTTTCTATAAGGTATTCATATATTAACTCATTTACACAGGAAATTTCATGATTGTTAAATGACTCTCTTTGAATTGTACATTTCCTGTCTTTCACCATCTGATTACTTAGAACTCCCTCCCCTGGAAGATTTGTTTATCTTCCACTAATGGGGAGACTCCCCCCCCCATACCCCTAATAACCATTATTGGCCTTCCTCCCTGATTCTGGCATCGTTTGTGTATTAATAATTATTAATTATTTTATCATTTTAAATGTTTAACTGCTCAAATGTTTTAAAATAATAAATTTATACTTCATTTGTATAGTTTGTGTATTAATAATTATTAATTATTTTATCATTTTAAATGTTTAACTGCTCAAATGTTTTAAAATAATAAATTTATACTAGAATTAGGAAGGGTGACTCTTTGCATAAGTGTGAGTTTCAAGGCCAAAAATTCCAGAGCAAAAGAAAAATAACTTATTTGCAACTGTCCCTGAAACTTTCAGCAGTCATAGTATTGCTTACTTCCTGAGCCACGTCTAAAAATGGTGAATGTTTGCAAGTACGTGCATGTGTATCTTTAAAACAGAAGTATAAGCCAAAGACCAAGGTGCATCACTTTGGCCCTAAAACAGTTTGATCAACTCCAGTATCACACACATGATGTGCTGCTAACCTCTCCATGTTGTCAAGCCTCTCATTCCCCCTAGCTAGCACCGCAAGATAAGGGGAAGCAACCCTGAAGCATCAGAAAATAGAGCTGGATAATGCTAGCATTTATTTATTTATTTTATTGTATTTATACCCCGCCCTCCCCGTGAACGGGCTCAGGGCGGCTTCCACAGAGCACAAAGTGCATACAGTATATAAAAGCTAAACAGTTAAAATTCAATGCCATCGGATGCACACATAAAACTCCCAACATCTTGCATAGCAGAGGGGGAGGGCTAGGGTTGTGGATAGATGTTACCCGGCCCTCTGGCGGTATCACTCTATGACGGAGCAGTGGTGGTAGTAGCAGTGGCGGCTCCTACTCGAAGGCCTGGCAGAAGAGCTCCGTCTTACAGGCCCTGCGGAACTGCATAAGGTCCTGCAGGGCCCTGATCTCCTCTGGGAGCTCATTCTACCAGATAGGAGCCGCCACTGAAAAGGACCTGGCCCTTGTTGCCGCAAGCCTGGCCTCCTTAGGGCCCGGGGTCACCAGCCGGTGTTGTGACCCCGACCAAAGTGCTCTTTGGAGAATATGTGGGGAAATGCGGTCCCTCAGGTATGTCGGACCCTGGCCATGTAGGGCTTTAAAGGTAAGCGCCAGCACTTTGAAGCGAATCCGGTATGCTATAGGCAGCCAGTGCAGCGCTTTCAATACAGGTCGGGTGTGCTCCCACCTAGGGGCGCCCACCAACAACCTGGCCGCAGCATTCTGCACCAGCTGCAGCTTCCGGATTTGTGACAGAGGCAGCCCCATGTAGAGAGCGTTACAGTAGTCTAGCCTCGAGGTGACCGTCGCATGGATCACTGTAGCTAGGTCATTGCGGTCGAGGAAAGGAACCAACTGCCGTATCAGCCGAAGATGATAAAAGGCCGATCTGGCAGTGGCCGCCACCTGGGCCTCCATCGTTAAGGTGGGGTCCAGGAGCACTCCCAAGCTCCTAACCTCCGAAGCTGGCACCAGAGGTGCCCCATCGAAGGTCAGGAGCGGAAACCCTAACCCTGGTCCGGTCCGACTCAAGCACAGGACCTCCATCTTCACCGGGTTTAATTTCAGCCTGCTCAGTCTGAGCCATCCAGCACCGGCTTGTAAAGGCCGGTGCAGATCTTCTGGGTTGGAGTCCGACTGGCCACCCAACATCAAAAAGAGCTGGGTATCATCTGCATATTGATGACACACCAGCCCATACCGCCGGGTAATCTGGGTGAGGGGACGCATATATATGTTAAACAGCATCGGGGAAAGCACCACCCCCTGAGGCACCCCACATTCAAGCGGGCGCCTCTGGGACTGCTGTTCCCCTAGCACTACCCTCTGTCCCCGACCTTGGAGAAATGAGGCAAGCCATTGAAGGGCAAGCACCCGGATCCCCACGTCAGCGGGGCGGTGGGCCAGCAGCTGATGGTCGACCGTATCAAATGCGGCTGACGGATCTAACAGCAACAGCGCCACCACATGCCTAGGACTCTCCCTTCATGTACTGATACAGGGTTCACAGGCCTAGCTCCCCATGGTTGGGTAGAAGGTAAGCAAGTCACAGGTGCAAGTTCGTACCTAACACATACTTCAAGCAACACTCTCTGCTGTGTATGCAGGCCCAGGGCTTACATGGCTCCTCTTTCCACTGGGCTTGGCCAGCCTATTGGCTGTTTCCACTTTCACAGCAAACCAATTTATCGTTACATCCCAGTTAGCTAATTGCATTCAACTAGCATTTGGTCAAAATTAACATAAGAGCAGGGCAATCTCACTCAATTCTGTCAGTGTAGCTCTTTGGCCCTTTATCTGCAAGGATCCAGTAACCAGTTGTGTCAGGGATCACAGAATTCTGCTGAGGGAAATGGAAAGCAGAGCTCAATCCACTTCTGTTGGTGGACAGCAGGCAGGCTCCAACCTGAAGCATTCATTGTAATTGACCCAGAAAATTAATGACGTGACATTTTCAAAATTCAATTTATAGTTCATATTTTGCCCAACAAGCCCCCCGCCAAGAACTATTCAAAATGAACTAAAAGGAAATTGCCATTTCACACTTAATAGCTCTGTTTTGATCCTTTCTTTTTTGTGGGGTTTTGTGTGTTTGT